TATATATATATATATATATATATATTAACCATAATTTCAGCTAATATATGTATTTTTTTAGCATAGAAGTGTTCGAAGCCAAAAAATGCAAGCTTCACTAGGCAGTGCTAATTCTGTTTTTACTTGTTCGAGAGAGAGCTCTGAATTCCAACGAGAACAATCGCGCATAAAAAATTCGCGCTTAATTTATCGATTACCACTGCCAAGCTATGAGATAAAATCTAGTAATGCAGCGGTCTCGCAAGATATAAAATTACTTACCGCGGCTTTGATTGTATCCTGCCTGCCAGCCCGCATAATACGCCGCTTTTTGTTTGCCGTGTTCCTCTGCGATTTTTACGCTAAGCGGTTCTGATCCACCCTCCGGTATTGTACCGTGAAGTCGTGCGATAGCCTCTTGGGCTTCCTCCCTCTTATCGAATCTATATCGGGACAAATTAGAAAGCAATTTTGAGTTCAATCAAGTTTTAGATAAAACAATCGCGAATGTATAAAAGCTCATCAGAGAAAGGTAATAATAAATTTGAAGTGTGTAAGTTAAAGTGAGACATTCTTATGATCTCAAACATATTTTACACAGCATAAATTTTTGTTATTTATTTTTAAACTTAATAAAATCGAAAGGGATAATCAAGAGGCATTTTAGCAAGATTCCCATCTGTTGGCATAGATTGCAATAACTATTTCCAACAATCTATTTCCCACAATTTTGCTATCTCTAGTTTTATTCATGTTTTGCAGTTATCTGGGCCAAACTAAAGGGAGCATATCAGAATTGTGCAACTAAAACCAGGAGCTGTACACAAAAATACTTTGGCAGGAAACTATCGCAAAATAAGTACGCGCATACGAATATATGCACGACCGTCGTTGTGTAACGATATAGTATGATTGTCGCGAGCAGCTGTTTTGAATTTGTTCCAATCTTCAATACTAGCGCGTTATTTATACTCGATGTGCAAGTGTCATAAATTGACATATTTGTTAAATCACTAAAGTTACTGTCTCTTTTTCTCATAAATACGTGTATAAATACGGTACTTATAAACGTAAACTTTTTATCAATATTTAAAAAGAGAGAAAATCGGATATGATAAAAAATAATCTACCTAACAAACGCTACTCCTCTCGGTAAACCGGTCAGTTTATCCCTCAATATATTCTTCTGCACAATATTGCCATATTTACTGAAGAGTTCATCGATTTGGCTTTCCGTAATATTTCTGTAAAAATAAATTAGGTCTTTAAATATAATATTTCCGTATTCAATTCTTGATTTTGAAATTATCTCAAATATAAGGAATTATAAATAAGGAAAAAAATTCTGTTGTGAAAGAAACAAGAAGAGACTAGGTAAAATGCATATAAATTGTACAATCCTTACGTCTATCCAAAAATGAAAAATGAAAATCCAAACAAGAAAAATTATTACCTTGGTAAATTTGTAACGTAAAGATTCGTTTCTTTAATTTCTTCTCCAGAAGGCCGAGCGAACGAGACCTTCAGACGTTTATTTTGCACTTGAAGACCATTTAATGTGCTTATCGCTGTCGCCGCGTCCTCAGCTTTCGCATAGTTGACAAAACCAAAGCCGTAGCTGTATCCAGTCTGAAAAATGAAACGTAAAATTAATTTTATAAAAATTATTTGTACGAGATCTCAAATAGAAAGTATATGACTTACCTTGTAATCCTTCATGACTCGACAGGATTCGACTGGACCAATCGTGACAAATAGACTGTACAATTCCTTCTCATTCATGTTTTGCGGAAGGTAATTAATAATCAGATTTGTTCTTGGTTCCTCATTGCCTTTGATCTGTTGTTGTTGCTGTTGCTGTTGAAACTGGGACTGCGGCTGTTGCTGCTGCTGCTGCTGGTCTCGCTGGTCAGTCATTTTGTGGCACTGTTGCTGCGGATCACCTCCCGATGATGAAATCTGATTTGATGCGACGATCTGATTCAACGCGACGATCTGTTGCGGTTGCTGTTGCTGCTGCGCGACCGAGTCCACCACCAGCAGTTGGTGTTGCGGTTGCTGTTGTATACTCCAACTGGTACCGTCCAGCGAAACGACCATCGACGGGAGGATCATCGGCAAATACAAAAAATATAAACAAATTCATTACTACGTCTTCCCCGTACGACAACGCCGCTACGCTCGTAGGCCAGTCTGCGCCCTCGAATGCTCTCATCTTTCTCTCTCTCTCTCTCTCGCTTTCTCTCGCTTTCTCTCTAAGCAGTCTCAAAATAAATAGAAAATAAATGTGCAATATATGTATTGATGCCAGACCTGTGTGTGAGAAACAAACAAACAAAGGCAAGTAAGGACAAAAACAGAATCAGATGGCAGGCGAAAATCAAAGTAGGCAAGCATAAGTAACGAATATCGTTAAAAAAAAAAAAAATGCTTTGCATGGACAACAAAATTAAATATTATAGAAATATCTCGATCCTCGCGAACTTTAGATTTTCTTTTCTTATACTATTGTAAAACTCAGTTTACATAATCATTTACGTGTCAATGCAGCTTTAACGTATCTATTTAATTTGAGTCTGATTTTTACATGTCTCGTGTAAGAAGGGATAATAGCTCCACCAAATGCGATCAACAAAGGAGACGGTTTCGAAAGTAACGCGATTTATCTTGTTCATCGCGAGTACCCGTACGATTCTAGAGATATCGAATTTCATTGAGTGCCCCTCTATCCCCTCTCCCCCCCATTCCCGCGCCTGGCGGGAATTCGTACGTCGACGAGAGACAGGGAGTTACGCGCGTTCGTTCATTCACGCCTCGAGGCCTGAGAAACACGCGCGGACGAAACGGAGAAAATAAATTTCCGCGTACTATTCGCTTATGTTTACGAAGCAATTGTGATCGTCATCATCGTCGTCATCGTTTCAATGACGACGACGATGTCGTGACGATAGCCTCCTTTCGTTGTCAACAAAAGCGAACGGAGAAAACAATAAAAACACAACTAGGACGAGCAAGGTAGAGAGGAGAAGGGAGGGGAGGAGGGGACAGGGATCGAAGGGCGTGGAGGAGAAGGGAAGGGAAGGGAGACGGAATTTTCCAAGTTCGTGAGGAACGTAACCTTTTGGCCTTATTTTGAAGAGGCCCGGGAAAGAGCGCGAGCTATCCGGGGGCCCCGGCGGATTCGTGAATCGACCAAGCTGTCAGAATGTGGGGGGTGAGGGGGGGGGGAACGGAACGGAAAGAGAGAAAGAGAAATAGGTGCATAGGCGTCCCGCGAGGTGGGAGAAGGAAGCGAGAGAGCGGTGTTGGATAAAGGAAGCGGAGAGGCGACGGAGAAGAAAGGAAGGGTCGGTTTCAGTGGTGTGTGTGTGTGTGTGTGTGTGTGTGTGTGTGTGTACGTATAATTCTTATGTGTGTTGGTATACGTACCCGAGTGATCACAGAACGGAGTAAAATCGAAGAGGAGCGCGAGCAAACAGACAACCACCGTAGGGACGATCCTCTCTCTCTCTCTCTCTCTCTCTCTCTCTCTCTCTCTCTCTCTCTCTCTCTCTCT